AGTTTGCAGGCAACTGGGCTCCATTGGAGGCGTTTGGCGTGAAGAAGATTGGTGTGAAGAAGAAGATGACATGTCATAAAAAAAAAAAGTCCAAATAAGTGTCTTTTTAAGTTGTGCTCGCCATGTCATAAAAAAAAATATAAAAAATGCCATGTGGCCGAGTTAACGGCCCAAATTGATAGAAGGATTAACGGAGTGCATTTTGTATAGTTGAGGGATCAAAAAAGTGTAAAAAATTGTTGAGGGACCAAAAATGTGCAACTCACTAACGTTGAGGGACCAAATTTAGCATTTAACCAAAAAAAAATTTTCCACCGAATTAAACACCCCTTAAAATGGTTAAAAACGTCTGCATCTTTTAAACATCTCTGCATCGCTCCAAATGGTTGCTTCTTATCCATTTCAAATCTCTATATATATATAATGCTATCTTATGCATTAAATAGAGTATGCATTTTTATACATAGTATATAATATAATAGATAATAATATATAATATAATGATATATATTTATTTATTATTTATTATATAATTATTATATGCAATTGTTTATGAATATACAATGCACTTTTTTTATTCTAAAGTTACATCATTCTGAACCAAATTGTTATTTATGTTGGATTTTATGTTTGTCATTAATAATAAAATTATGAGTTATAAACATTATTATAATTGTTTTAATAACTTAACGTAAAGAAAATAATACAAAAATTAATAAAAAAAATTAATAATTTGGCAAGTTATATATTATTATAGTGTTATTCCACGTTCAATTATGAAATGAAGAACTACAAATTAGTATTTGCCATAATAATTGAAGATAATCTATATTTATATGTATATATAAAATGCTACTCTATGTATTAAATAGGATATGCATTTATATACATATATTACTAAACTTTTTTTTAACCCGTGCGTTGCATGGGTTTTTTAATTTTATATTAGAGTTTAAATTTTTCATTATTATTTTTTATCAACTCTTGAGTTTTATAATGATTTTTAATTAAAAAATTCTAGTTAAATAATTAAAGTTAAGTTGAAAATCGTGTTCAGTATTTAGTAAGAGTATTCTTTAAAAAAAATTATATATAATCACATTTAAAAAAGGGAATATTAAAAGAATTTAAAAAACATTTAATATTAATCTTTATTTCATAATTTAAAACATATCTATTCTTTTTTTTTTTACTATTATTCTATTTAAAGATTTAGATAGTATTATCTCTTCTCTCAATTAAAAAACTACAATACACTTAAATAGGATCAAATACCTATGGGTTGCATATGCATTGCACGGAATCATTTTAATGTTCCTTTCTCAACATTATATTAAAAAATTGATATACCTTCTTAAAATATAACTTAAACTAAGTAATTTAAATATATATTGTACAATCAAATTGTGATACCCCAAAATTTTCTAGAATATTTAAGTGAGAGTTAGGGACTTGATTGTGAGGAAATGTTGTTTTGGGGCTTAATGGCAAAATGTTCAAAAGTTGAGGGACTTAAAAGAGGAAAATTTGGATAAGGATGGCTTATTTCTTTTCTCCTTTTTCCTCTTTCTTCTCAGCTCGATTCTGCTCTTCTTCTTCTTCTCCCCGTTGCAGCCACCTGAAAGAAGAAAAAAAAAGGGAACCCGGCACCAGCCTTTGAGAAACCGATGAGAGAGCTTGATTTTATCCTTCTTTTCTTGTTCAAGAACAAGATTGGAGCCTTGAAACCTTCTCCCCCTGCTGGAAATTTCGAATTTGATCTGCTCCTTCCTTCCTCACCGTCGGCTGCTCTTGATTATGGGTGATTTCTGGGCATTTTTTCGTTAAGAACAGCCATTAATCCATCCTTTTAGCCTTGATTTAACTTGGGTTTACCTTAATTGCTCTTGGTTTCTTGAATTTTGGGTAGATCCCCCTAAATTCCCCTGCACTGCCGTTGGCTTCTCCCCCCTCCTAGGTCCGGTTTGCAGCTGGAAAATCTGGTATGTTGACAACTCCAAGCTTGAAATTTTATCAGTTATTTGCTGCCCTATGTGTGTCCGAAAATCTATTGAAAAATAGGGGAGAAATTTGACAGTAATTAGAGCATAATTAAGCTTAATTCATGTGTAATTGCTTGAGCTGGTTGCTGTGATTTTTGGAGAGAAAATCCTGTGAATTAGCTAGTGTTTTGGCCAATTTTTGGAAGTGCAGTTACTATTCACGGGCACTGTTCACACACCGAGGGTCAACAATTAATGGGGATTTAAATGATTAGTTTGTGATATAAGAACGAATATGGAGATGTCTGGTCATATGGAAACTGATAGAAATAGCATCGTGATTAGGGATAATCTAATGATGATTTCAGTTTGAATTTGTGGTAGTGCGGTATTAATTCTGGGGTATTTTGATTAGGTTCTTGATCGTTCTGTCAATTTAGCACTGAGATTGAGTTTTCTGCTTTATGTGATTGAGGTAAGGAAATTATGGTAACGCCCTTTGATTTTTAAAAGCATGTTTTGATTTGTTTTTGAAGTGGTGGTGGAACTAAACCCGTTTTACACGAGCATGACTGATTTGAAGTGAAATTTTTATGCTTTTCATTAAATTGAGCATGCCTGCTTGAAATTTAATTGATTGTCCTGATAATTTGAAAGTGATTGGTGAATTATGATTTTTTTGTTAACTTCTACTTGTTTTGTTTCCGATGTGGTTATGTTATTAATGATCCAGCTAGTGGGGGTTAAACGCTAGCACATGTCAACATGTTATTGATAGAATCGGTTCGTTCAACCCTGCTAGTGGGGGTTATACACCAGCAAATAGTGTGCCTGCCAGTGGGAGGTTTATAGCACTGGCCGTGACTTATAGAGACTTATAGAGGAGACGTCTATTTCGTTCCCGTACTATATCCGTTTTTCGTAATTACACTTGTTGGCATGCTATAAGTTTAATAAGGGCAAAATACCCAAATCCACCCCTCAACTATAGGGGCAGGGACGGATCCACACCCGAACAAAAAATGGGGACAAATCCACCTATAAATTTTTCGACTTAGACAAATAACTCATTATTTGACGTGCCACGTCATGTAACATCATCATCTCGTTAACTGCCCATTAAGTCTGACTTTTTTAACACCTGGAATCTTAGGTGGCTATTTTTGTTGAATTGGACATGATTGCAGTCCAATTTCAACCCATTTTTGACATCGTGGCATTTCGCTTCCCTTTTTTTGCATCTGGGCTCCAGTTTAAATATCATAAATGCCTCTTAAAATATTCTTTCTTCTCCATTTTACCCTCCATACCAATTTATTAGTGGACCGACTATTTTCATTTCATTATTTTTTAATTAATAAATTACATATTTAAATTTAATTAACTTAAATGATGAAAGACCATTTAAAAACTTAAATGATTAATAAGTAACATTTATTATTACATATTAATGGATTAACTCTAAAAAGACCAAATTAAAGATAAAAAAGAGTTAAAAGGAAATGGACAGTTCATCTTCTCTGATGGGGCATCTTTCCCCACCCAAAATCAACCGATTCATATATGGAGAATTTGGTCCATTGTGTTTTGGTGAGTTTCCTTTTAAATCCAAGCTTTCATGGCTGGTATACTTATATATTATCCACAGTTGACCTCAAATACTCCTTCAACATCCCCAGCCAAGCATCTAGAACCAGATCTGTCGTGGTGAGTTTGTTGTCTTCAAGGATATCGCAGAAAATTGCAACAAACGCACCATTATACCCAGCTGCGCATCTTGAACTAGATCTATTATGGTGGGTTCTACAAAATCCTTGAAGACAGGAAACCCAGATCTGGGTTTCCTCTATTATAACAAAAATTGCAATTTCAATTCTCATCAGTTAATCTCAACACTATTATACCCAAAATCACACAACAAACCTGCAAAATTTGCAACTCTTTCAAGCCCTTATGACAGAAGAACACAAATCTCAATTTTCTTTGTTCTATGGCACTTCAAGCTTGTCAGGAGGCATGATTATATCTTGTGGCTTCTAATCTGGGTTCCGTTTGGCCCCAACCTCACATGATGGAAAGGGTAGAAAAGGAGAAAGGGAGAAAGGAGAAAAATGCTCTCACCGTTGCCAGCCTCTGATCTACTATGGTTCGAAAGGGAAAAGGCAAATTAGGGAAGGGAAGAAGAAAAGGGTCTATTTGTAATTAGAGGAGAGATGTAATTTTGAAATTTAAATAAGACCTAGATGAGATGGTGATAAAAAAATGAGGTAAGTGCCATGTGGTCGTCTAACTCAACAAAAATGGCCACCTAAGCATCAAACTGTTAAAAAAGATTTCACGGTGTTTAAAAAGTCAAACTTAACAGGCAGTTAACGAAATGATGATGTCACATGACGTGGCACGTCAAATAATGGGTTATTTGTCTAAGTCGAAAAATTTGTAGGTGGATTTGTCCCCATTTTTTATTCGGGTGTGGATCTGTCCCTACCTCTATAGTTGAGGGGTGGATTTGGGTATTTTGTCTTTAATAAGGGGCACTCCATATTTTGCTTACTGAGTTTATCTCATAGTTTTTCCTTGTCCACCATTTCAGGAAGCGAAACCGAGGACGGGAAAACCACGGGAAGTGACGAGTTAGAAGGCTAGCCATTTCGAGATTTGATATAGATTTTAGAAATAAATCATGATCATGTAAACTAGACTTTATTGGAGATTTATGATATTAGAGTAAATTATAAAATTTGATCTTCAGATTTTGATGGTATCAAATTGTGAATTGGATAAGTTCTGAGCCTTGTGCATTTGTGGGACTCTCTCACGAGTGCACGGCGTCTGCCACGTCCCCAGATTTGGGTTCTGGGGCGTGACAGATTTAGTGGCATCAAAGTTTAGGTTTAAATTAAGAGCTTAAGATTAAATTAAGCACCTCCAGATTGAGTGATATTAGAGCTTCGGTTTAATTGAATACCTAGGTTTAATACTTAGGATTTGTTTGGAACTTGGCTACCCAATGGATTTTAGAACTGTGGTGAGACGAGTGATGGGGTTATATAAAGGACGATTCCGATTCATGTTGCCTGAATTTTTTAATCCATTTTGATGAGATGGTAATCTGATTGTTCTTGTTTCCTGCCTTCATACCCTGTGTAGCTTCATAAAATTAATCTTGTCCGCCATGTTCTTAAGACCTTGTTTTGAAACTTGGTCATTTTCTGATAGTCCACACTTGTTTAGACCTGTTACTTGAATAGAATTTTTGTATGCTCTTTTGCCACAATTGTAAAATCTGGGGAGTTGCGGAGATCTTTTGTTATTGATTCTGCTGGTCTTTACAGCATAGCTAGTTGGGAAATTTGTTCTGTTTGTCACATGACCAGTGGAAGATGAGCAACCCTCTACTTTGTGAAAGATTCAAGGTTATTTTAGCAAATGCTGTGTGTTTTCTAGATGCGTTTTAGGAGCAGGATAACTTGGTAATTTCGTTGCTCCTTATCTTCTGAAAGTCTTATAGTGAAGTTTCACTTTTTCCATTTGGAGCTTTATGGTCTTTTCATGTGGCTCATTTTTCTATATTGGTTAATCAAAAGCAGTGATCAGTTCAATTGAAATTGCCTTGTTTTTGTGAAGATTAGCAAGCTGTCATAAAGTTAAACTCTCTATTGTTGCTAATCTTTACATTCTTGATACTTGGAAACTGCTTGAAACTCTTGAAATCCATCTTGAATCTTTTGTGAGATTGCTTTGTACTTGTTCTTAAATCTGAAATCCAAAGGAAATGGATAATGATTATTGAAATCCTTATTATCTTGATATTTATCTGAAATTAATTCTTGCACTGTTCTTGGAATGTATTTTAAATTGTCCTTGAAAACCATTCTTGTCTTGACTCTTGCTCATGCTCAAATTCTGTATACTGCTCTTGCTCAAATCCTGCATATTCTACTAGTTCTTGTTTTGGTATACCTGTTGATCTTCTTGATTTTTGATTTTTGATTTTTGTTCATATGGACACCTTTTTAGGAGGGGTGATGATTGTTAAAAAATCCCTATATGAGGCATCCTCATTCTTGTCTCTTGCAAGTGGTAATCTTTGTATCCTCGATGTCTTAGCTTTGACTTGACTCTAGGATGTCTAAGATGATTTGATTGTAAATCTGCTTAGCTTCCATGGGCTATGAGGTGAAGGGGTAATCTTTGAAGTACCTGATGCCTTAGAGTTTGGTTCCAAAAGAAATGGTTCTTTTATCTGGCTGCTTTGATTTTTGTTGCCCTTTTAATTAGAAGATAGTAATCTTCTAAGTATCCTGATCCCCAGTATTGATCATTCTGTTAATTAATTCGTGTTACGCAAGGTGTTAGATCTTGACATCCTGGTTATATCTACTCTTGAATCCGTGTTCTGATTGTCATTATTGAAATCTCTTTTGTGGGCCTAATTTTTGGAATTCTATTGCTTGTTTCATGGTTAACTCTTGTCTCTTAATTTTGACTGCTTGGTTAAATTTGATTTTGATTCTTGGTGAATGCTGTTTTGTTGCTGAATTTTTTAGGCATTCTACCTTGCACTCTTATGTTCCAGTACTCTTCCAAGCATTCATATTTTCCACTGATTTCATTCGGATGTTATTATGGAAATTTCACATGTCATTTGGTGGGTCTAGTTTTTAACCTTTGTTAATTGCTAAAATCTGTTTCTTGATTCTAGTTGCTTTGTTAAACATGACCTTGCTTATTGGTTAACCTTGTTGTGGCAGGATTTATAAGGCATCTATGCACTTGTTCATTCATTCATGATTCATATATCCATTGGATGCTTATTTGTCTTTGATAGAGTTCAAAGTTTTGTTGTACTCGTCTTTAAATCCATGCCATTCTTTGCCAACTCGTCTTGTGTTGGGTTCATAGCGTAACCCCACAATTGTTCTTTTGTGGCTTTGGCAGGATTTATTTTTATTCCTTGTGCTTCCCATATCATCCCAGCCTCTAGTAGCTTGTTTCATGGTAAACCCTGTTAAGTAGTTAATGTTCTGCTTTTAGAATTAGTTGTGGTTTGATATCAGAGTGGCGCAGCAGAAGCGTAGTAGGTTATGTTCTGTTCACAAAAAGTTGGTGAGACATTTGTTTTGTCTTGGATTGGGTGAAGCCATTCACCACTTGAGATGATCCCCAAAATTTTCTAAAATATTTAAGTGAGAGTTAGGGACTTGATTGTGAGGAAATGTTGTTTTGGGGCTTAATAGCAAAATGTTCAAAAGTTGAGGGACTTAAAAGAGGAAAATTTGGATAAGGATGGCTTATTTCTTTTCTCCTTTTTCCTCTTTCTTCTCAGCCTGATTATGCTCTTCTTCTTCTTCTCCCCGTTGCAGCCACCCGAAAGAAGAAAAAAAAAGGGAACCTGGCACCAGCCTTTGAGAAACCAGTGAGAGAGCTTGATTTTATCCTTCTTTTCTTGTTCAAGAACAAGATTGGAGCCTTGAAACCTTCTCCCCCTGCTGGAAATTCCAAATCTGCTCTGCTCCTTCCTTCCTCACCGCTGGCTGCTCTTGATTGTGGGTGATTTCTGGGCATTTTTTCGGTAAGAACAGCCATTAATTCATTCTTTTAGCCTTGATTTAACATGGGTTTACCTTAATTGCTCTTGGTTTCTTGAATTTTGGGTAGATCCCCCTAAATTCCCCTGCACTACTGCTGGCTACTCCCCCCTGCTAGGTCCGGTTTGCAGCTGGAAAATCTGGTATGTTGACAGCTCCAAGCTTGAAATTTTATCAGTTATTTGCTGCCTTGTGTGTGTCCGAAAATCTGTTGAAAAATAGGAGAGAAATTTGACAGTAATTAGAGCTTAATTAAGCTTAATTCATGTGTAATTGCTTGAGCTGGCTGCTGTGATTTTTGGAGAGAAAATCCCGTGAATTAGCTAGTGTTTTGGCCAATTTTGAAAGTGCAGTTACTGTTCACGGTGCTGTTCAGGGGCACTGTTCACGGGTGCTGTTCAAGGGCACTGTTCAAGGGCACTGTTCACACACCGAGGGTCAACAATTAACGGGGATTTAAATGATTAGTTTGTGATATAAGAACAAATTTGAAGATGTCTGGTCATATGGAAACTGATAGAAATAGCATTGTGATTAGGGATAATCTTAATGATGATTTCAGTTTGAATTTGTGGTAGTGCGGTATTAATTCTGGGGTATTTTGATTAGGTTCTTGATCGTTCTGTCAGTTTAGCACTGAGATTGAGTTTTTTGCTTTATGCGATTGAGGTAAGGAAATTATGCTAATGCCCTTTGATTTTTAAAAGCATGTTTTGATTTGTTTTTGAAGTGGTGGCGGAACTAAACCCGTTTTACGCGAACATGACTGATTTGAAGTGAAATTTTTATGCTTTTCATTAAATTGAGCATGCCTGCTTGAAATTTAATTGATTGTCCTGATAATTTGAAAGTGATTGGTGAATTATAATTTTTCTATTAACTTCTGCCTGTTTTGTCTCCGATGTGGTTATGTTATTAGGTTATATCCCCGATTCAGTCCCTCAACTTTCATTTTTGAACTAAAACTACCCTCGAACTTCAAAAAGTACTAAAAAAATCCTTAAACTTCAATTTTTAGGACCAATTTCGTCCTTCCGTCAGTTAAGTGCTGACATGGCAACATTTCCCGTTAACAAATTCAATTTTTATTAATATTAAATATTACCTGAAAATAAAATGAGTGATATGGCATTTTTAATTATAAAAATATTGTGATTTGGCATCAAAAATATAATTTAATAAATTTTTTTTTTTTTCTTTCCTTTCCTTTCTTTTT